CAAGAAGCTCCTCAGGGACAAGCCAAACGACTACAAGAAGCATCTTTCCCCAGAGGGATAAGTCCTACGACTTAGTAGTTAAGGACGAGAAAATCGTCGTACCTAAGACTATGCAGAAAAAGCTAGTTGAATGGTACCATGGTGTGCTGATGCACCTGGCGAGACTCGCACGGAACTAACCATAGCCAACACTACACCTGGAAAGGGCTACGCAGGACTGTGCAGGCCGTATGTCAGCGTTGCCAAGCTGCCAGATGAACAAAACAAGACGCGTAAGCTGGGATTGATGCCTACAAAGACCTGCGAGGAGATTCCTTGGGAAAGACTATGTATTGACCTGATAGGCCCCTACAACGTCGGGGATCCCAAGAAAAAGAATTCCTGCACACTTCATTGTTTGACAATGATTGATCCCGTAACCGGATGGTTCGAGATGCAGAGATCTGCTCCAAGGAGCAGACAAGTAGCCATCGTCCTAGAACAAACGTGGCTTACCCGGTATCCATGGCCTGCTGAGGTTATCATGGATAGAGGACGCGAGTTCCGCGCAGAGGTCGAAAGACACTCCGGGATGAATTTGGACTTCGTCGCGAAGTTCATCACCACGCGCAAACCTCAAGCCAACTCTATGTCGAGCGGGTCATCAAACCATACGTAAACTTGATCGCTGTTCAAAACATCAAGTGCCAAGCGACCTCGTGAATGGATCCTGGGATGGAGTCCTCACGGCGGTTCGCTTTGCAATGAATGCCACGATTCATACCACCTTGCGTGCAACGCCGCACAGCTCGTGTTCATCGTGACGCGATTCACAACGTCCGGTTCGAAGCCAACTGGGAGTACATTAAGGAACGTCGCCAACGACTAATCCAACAAAACCACGATAGGGAAAACGCAACGCGTGCCCTCATCATACAATGTCAACGATACTGTGAGATTCAACAGTATCAGCACCGCAAGTACGGTCAGCCAAAGTACAAAGGTCCTTACACTATAGACCGAGTCAATGACAATGGCACTGTAGGCTCCAACATGCTACCGCCAACGGCGGCACAGTCTACCAGACTTGGAAAATAAGGTTATACACCCATACAAGGCCTGATCCCCTTGTAGGATTGCCATCGTGCGACGCACATGTCTACAACCAAATCTCATGAGAGTGCCCCGCACTTTAAAATCAAATGTTCTCCTTGTCCGACTGCTTGTCGCGCCTTCTGTGACCCTTGTCAGGGGGCGAATGCAATACACGGCTCTTAGCCTTATTCGCGACTCGATCCTAGATAGGGTTTGAGTTCGACTCATGACCGAGTCTCTCGTGAATAGTCATTGAGACAGGGTTCTCAATGACCGCGCTAGTCATACTAGGTTGATGATGAAACATCGCTCTAGATATTTAGCCAGCGTGGAGTACTTCCACGCTACTAGATCCAGGCTAGACAAACCTTCCACGCGTTCCGTTTTAGGATCGTGGAGAGACGTAGGATTACTACCACAACCTACTCTATCACACTTTATAGTCTCCCGCGGGAGCCAGATCTACGATCCCTTGATGATGATCTCTCTCGTTGATTAGTTTTCATAGCTTTCTAATCTCTCTTATAACTTTCATTCTCTCAAACTCAAAACACTCGAAAGATCTTTACACTAGCTTTTAGCGTAGTGCACCACGCTGGCTAAATATCTAGAGCGATGTTTCATCATCAACCTAGTATGACTAGAGCGGTCATTGAGAACCCTGTCTCAATAACTATTCACGAGAGACTCAGTCATGAGTCGAACTCAAACCCTATCTAGGATCGAGTCGCGAATAAGGCTAAGAGCCGTGTATTGCACACTGCAGCAGAGCCTTCCCTCCAGTGCATTGTTTATTGTCACACTTGTAGATGAAGCAGTACATTGGTATGCGACCCCTGAAGGAAGCAATTGCTCTGTGTTGGCCTAGCTTGAGGCCACTTATGATAACCAAAGACACATACTTGTTGGTGCCACAATGGGGGCATGGAGTCTTGAGTCCTTCTTTGGCTGTTGCTGGGTCAATGAACTTGTACCTCGAATGTTTTCCAGGATGCTGCGGTCAAATATCTCAGGCATAAAAAAGAGTGTGAGCCGGGAGCTCAAATTCCATGGCTGCTAGAGACTGTTGCTCTGCCTTCCATCGTTTGTCAACGCCGTTCCCAAAGAAATTCGTAATTTGGGACTGGCCCTGGTCTGCAGATTTCTTCCAGGGCTCTCACAACAGGAGATGTGACTCCGTGGACTGCTCCCTATGGGAAATGGCGCTGCAGATGTTGATCCAATTTCCCCGCCACTAGAGGAGTCCTAGCTTCACAGAGGCACGTCCTGTCTTGCCAACAGCCGCCAAGAACACCATGCTGTTGTCGTCCACCTTTGGGAACCGTCCACTGGAGTACAGGTTCCGGATGTAGTGGTCGATACCAGCCGGCGCCTCTTTCGTACTCGCACTCATCGTCTTCGGAGGATTGCGATGAAAGCGGCTATGTCCTCGGCTGCGGTGAGGAGTACCTCTGCGGCTACTGAATCTGCGGCTACTGAATGCGGTAAGTACACCTCTGCGAAGTACCTCTGCGGCTACTGAATACGGAAGGGATGACCTCGGTTTTATTGTCTTGCTTCACTATCTCGCTCAAATTCGAAATCCTCTGGATGTCGAAATCCTCTGGCGAAATCCTCTGGATGCATGCTCCGTCGGTCTTTCGAAAACAACACGAAAACAACACGACGAGAGACTGATCGAGCTGACACAGAGATAAATAAATAAATAAATAAATAAATAAATAGATGCGAAATGCACGACTGACGTCAGTCGGCTGTGACGTCAGTCGGCTATCGAACGTTTGATTGGCTAATCCTCTACAGCGGCTCTACTGCGATTCTACGGCGGTAGGTACCGATTGGGCTGATGTCGGCACGACGGTCCCGCTGTACTTTCTGTACCAATCGTTTGAGGTTCTGATATGCGAACTACCGTCTCATTGTGCAGAACAGAATGCCGGTGCTACGAGTTGAGTGAGAGTGGAGGCCAGAGCTTGATGGCGACCTGACGCGTTAACTCAGACCCTAAGGCGTACTCCAAAACACTAAAATTAATGGGCATGCAGGGGTTATTCTGTTGCTCCAGATCTCGCGATCTGGTGTGAGGAATCTGGAGAATGGGGATTCTTAAGAATCATTTTGTTCTTTTTGCTGATTCTTAAGAATCATCAGGCACCCAGTATGCAACCTAATATACTAGCAATATGGGCTTCATAGCTAGCAATGCTATCCCCTGATACTATCTGCTAACCAACAACAATGTTTGCTGATAAGACAAGTCTTGTAATGATGCATTAGTGCATACCAAAACCATTGCAATGGAGTCTTTCTTGATTTTTAAAATTATTCCCAAGATTCAGCATATTTGCATTGAGGATTCTTAAGAATCATCATAATTTGGAGAGGATTCTTAAGAATCAGCAAATTCCATTCAATGATTCTTAAGAATCAGCATTTTTCATTGCTGATTCTTAAGAATTATCTAGCTTTTTCTTAAGAATCTGATTTTGAAAAAACTGATTCTTAAGAATCATTTGCTGATTCTTAAGAATCATCAATTTCCAAGAATCTGGAAAATTCTGATTCTTAAGAATAGTCTGATTCTTAAGAATCCTTGTCTACCCAGTATTTGATTCTTAAGAATCATAATTTTCCCAAGATTTTTTCCTGATTCTTAAGAATAATCTGATTCTTAATTAAAAGACTCCTTGTAACTTGTAACAGATCCATGATGTTGATGGAGCTATTTGATGATGGCTTTTGAAGGGGCTCTGGTATTCAACTAACTTTGAAGGGTTTCAATAACCCAAGCAGCTCGACAGCGGTACTGGTACTACACGGACCATGACGGAAGAGAATTGCTGCAATGCCTTTCTTATGGCTCCCATTCTAATTGTTGTGTCTATGGTAATTTTGGTTTGCAATGAAGGAAACACATTGGCTATGCATCGATCGCTGGACGAAGCTGTCAAGAAAACAGTCCATCTCAGTAATCCGGATCATGTGGATGCGTGGGACGAGGGAGACATGGTTCACGTAGTGGGGTGGGCTGTCACCACAGATGTTCTGCAGGACCAAGACTTTGGTGTACAGCCCAAGGATCCAGTGCTGAAGCTAAAGAGGAATGCCGAGATGTACCAATGGGCCGAATCATCTCGCAGAGAGTGCGATGAAAGCAAAGATGATGATGGATCGTCCAAGCATACCCATTGCTATACCATATACGATTACTATAGGACTTGGGCGGATCATCACATAGATTCCTCCCGATTCTATCACTCGGGGCATCAAAATCCACCTTACATGCCATTTAGAAATCAACAGTGGACGGCCAATCCCATCACGCTGGGCAAGTTCACATTGCCACGGATTATGGTCGATCAAATGAATTGGTATCAAAGATACTATCAAGTCTCCATTGGCGATATCCCCAATCCCTCTCTACGATCGCAAGCACAATATTATGAAAACAGAAACGGGATCTATTTGGGAAGGTACCCCAACCGGCCACAAATTGGGGATGAAAGAATTTGGTACGACACCGTACCGCAACAAATAATATCATTGTGTGCTGTCCAAACAGGCAATACCTTTGCACCCTACACTGCCGAAGCCGGAAAAGAAATTCTACTCTTAGAGCCTGGCAACCACACCATTCCGGAACTATATCAACATGCTCATGCCGCGGCTACCAACTGGGCGTTTGTAATGAGAGGTGTTGGGTTTATGCTGTTGTGGCTCGGGTTGAGATATTTTCTGGAACCGTTGACGTTCGTGGCAGAACATGTGCCCCTCTTGGGACCTTTTCTTGGTCAACTAGTGGGAGCTGTTGCGTATGTTGTGACAGGGCTGGTGGCCGTGGTACTGAGTGGTACCATTGTTCTCTGCGCTTGGATTGGCTACAGGATTGCTGCATTGGACTTTTTGTTCTGGACCGTACCTTTAGCACTGCTGGTGGCTGGAACGGCTGGATATTTGTGCTTGAAATCTCAAAGATCTGATCCCATGGTTGCTGAAAGACAAGCACTGAGAAACACCACCACCAACACCAACAACAACAACAACAACAACAACAACAATATGCCCTCTTACAACGAAGTGCCTTATGGTTCCATTCCAGAAGCACAGGCGATTGTCTTGGATGACGAACTAGAAAACGGTTCCTACCAAACCGTGAATCCAGTGGCTATTAGTGTGCCATCGGCTCCACCAGCTTTCATGGATATGAAGGCACCTCTTTGACCCTGAGGAGAGAAGGTGTAAAGGATGGTACCAAGAGGATTCACGCTATCCGGTACGCAAGTTTCACAAGCAATTGTTGCTGCCGTCTCTACACTATATCCACGATTCCTGCTGAGGGCACGCTGAACAAGGATAAGCAAGAGAAACTAAGCAGCCAATTTTGCTTGCTTAAGCCTTCTTTGCCGAATTCAGCATGAAGATTCTCTGTGGGTAAGAAGAAATGGCTCCATTTGACGGAGTAATAAGTTAGTAAATAAGCCTTGATAAGCAGGTTCTTTCGCGGAAACCCTGCCGCCTGCGGGTGGTTCATAAGGACGCGGGGGACAACCAAGGTCATGCGAGCTCCTACCGGTACATGTATGGCGGTCAATTGCTTCGTATCTCACTAACTTGGCGCTCCCCACGCATTGGTCTGTGGACTGTGGACTTGCTTGTTGGCATTCCAACATGGTTCCGGCTTTTGGAGCTGCAAGGGTAACTCAAACCCTACCGGTACCCCAAGTCAACTCGCTGAACACGTTGACTTGGATCTTTGGAGATCTTTTTCTCTGACATCCTCATCCAGTCTTTTGACACCCAAGATACCCGTGCAAGATGGGCAACTCAAGCTCGAGGTATTAGACTAGTAGACACTCCGCCCAATACAAACCCCCGCCAAGATTTAGAATAGCGCTTCCATATTGATTCATAATATTTTGAGCTACCGTACCACTACTACGTCTGCCCGAGATGAGCTTCTCCCGCATCCTCTTCTGCACTGTTGCGTTGGCATGTTCTGCCACAGTTACTCAAGCATGGGTTTCTTCACGAAACGTCAGCCCCTGCCGACCTTCCACAACTAGCCTTTCCATGTTCGATTGGTTCAACCCAAAGCCAGCTCCCAAGCCTGAGCCAAAAGAAGAGAAAAAGGAAGAACCAGTAGTGGAGGAACCCAAGGCGGTGGAGGAGCCCAAGGCAGTTGAGGAACCCAAAAAAGTAGAGGAAGTAAAGAGTGAGCCAGCTGCAAAGGCTCCAGCAGCGTCGGGCTCGGAAAGGCTCAGCGGCACCGTCAACTGGTTCAATCGTCAATATGGCTACGGTTTCATCAAGGCGCCGGATGCTGGTGACACGGATGTATTTGTGCATCAATCAGAAATCCAAGTCGAAGGATTCCGTTATCTTATGGAGGGAGAATCAGTGGAGTTCAAATTGGAATATGACGACAACAAGCGCGCCAAAGCCATTCACGTAACGGGTCCAGATGGAGGTGATGTCCAAATCGCTGTGCGTCGCAAGGAAAGAGCTGCAAAGGCCAAAGAGGAGGGTAATTAGAAGACGAACGACGACAAAGGAGTACCAGTACTCGATTGGCTCAATTAGATCATCACCCGGAAAATTTAACAAGAAAATCAATGATTCAATTATCAACGATCCGAGGCCAGCTCATCATTCAAGCAACAACGAAAGCGAGAGAAACCATGGATGCAACAATATCCCCGTACCCGTACTAGTAATAGAAACAGTCGCCAATACCACAGGGATGTTGGGATGTTGAAATTCAATTGGTAGATTACAACACGTCAATTCTACCTATCATAGGATGTCGAGGCCCACAAAGGCCATCCAGCTGTGCTGCTACTAGTATCGAACACTCTCGCTGCTGCAAGTGCTACGGTACAACTATCTTCATGTCAGCTAACAAACCGTAGAAAGATTGCCCGCCATGTTCTTAGTATGTTCGTGTTGCAACGGCGGAAAGGGGTGGGCAGAGATTTGGCGCCGAACAAAGAAAGGGAATATTAAATTTTTTGGCACCACCACAGATAGCTTGCCATTCATTTGACACGGTCCTACTGGTGGCACCAACGGCAGCAAATAGCTAGGAGCAGAGCTGCTAACCTCAAATTGGGAATCTGGATGGGTACATGAGTAACCTGGCCTATCCATCTTAGTAGTAAAGCCCCACTCCTGAACACCTGGACGAGATCTAGAACCTATTCCTTTACCGGTACCATCCCTGTCCTGGCTGGTCCAAATCCACTGCCTCAAAGCTGGACTTGCTCCAGACCTGGCCCAACACCAGGACCTGCTACTAGACTTACCCGTCGTCCCTCTCCGGGCCCCACACGGTTGGTCCAGGACCTACCCCATGACCCAGGATCTACCGGTGCAACTGTGGCCCCTCTCCAGGCCCTTACCTGGACCAACTTCGGGCCCCGTTCCAGGCCTCTTCAATGCCGATGCCCCGCTCCTGGATGAGTTCCAGACACCACTCTGGACAAACTGGCTGTCACTCAACCAAAACTGACTGCAGTCAGCCTTCCACAGGATAAGTGACATTCGAATCGAATCGAACGGAATGGTTGAATTCAATCGATTTATTCGAATGTAGCTTCCAATTGAAATATTCGATTGGAATCTTCCTTATTCCAATTTCGAGCCGTTGGAAATGGAAAGGCGGACTCGACTCGCGCCCGAGCGCTGACGTCTACAAATCAATGGCAGCAAAGCCAAGAAGAAGATGCTGTGAATAAACGCCCAAAGACGACGAAAGGAAGAAACACAGCTTTTGAGTCTTTCTTGTTGGAGTTGTCACCAAAGCTCGGATCGGAGTAGTAGGCGTTGGTTGACACTTGATTGAAGGATTTGCTTACTTTAGCAATTGTAGAGACATTGTGCTGGTTGCCTCCTTGGAAATTACCGAAAAAGGGTCGGTTCAACTAAAAGCTGCGCGTATCTTTGGATCTTTGGTTTCGCGTGGACCGACGCCAGCAGTGTAGAGGAGGAATTACTAGCTAGCAGTCGCATTCTGGCACAATGGAGCCAGGCACGTTAGTGTGGTGCGATGAGCCAAAGGGAGACTCGGCGTGGATTTTGGCTGAAGTTGTGTCTCGAACAGATGATGAGTTGACAGTAAAGCAAACGGACAAGCGGGACAATGTGTTCAGTCGCCCTTCAGAGATTGTTGACGAAGAGTCTGGAATGAAAAAGTTCAAAGGCGTCGAACTCGCAAATACAAAGCTGAGTGATGAAGAAAGAGAGGAAGGTCGAGATGATGATCTCATCACACTTCCGCATTTGCACGAACCCGCTATTTTGCACGCCATTTCCGAGCGTTTCTTCTACGGCAAAATCTACACTTGGACTGGACCTGTCTTGATTGCGGTCAATCCCTTTCAGCGGTTGCCTCTTTATACAAATGTAAGTGGGGGAGTTGGGTCCACTCAGGGAGCCGAGTCACATTTTGGCTCTAACAGATGTATGTGATTTCCGCAACTTTAGGAAATTCTAGAGGCGTATCGTCGTGAAGGTCTTTTTCGATCTCAAGGCATGGGAACACCAGGATCCGAGCTAGAACCACACATCTTTGCTATTGCAGATCGATCGTATCGACAAATGATGCAGGAACAACGCAAATCGCAGGCCATTTTGATTTCCGGAGAGTCAGGAGCTGGAAAAACAGAATCAACAAAGATTGTCATGCTCTACCTCACCACACTTGGAAACACTGGAATGGAAAACAATCAAGAAGATACTGGAGAGCTCAGTGTCATGCAAAAGGTCCTGCAATCCAATCCTGTTTTGGAGGCATTCGGTAACGCCAAAACTCTGCGAAATGACAACTCTTCTCGATTCGGAAAGTTCATCGAGCTGGGATTCACACGTGCGGGACACTTGATTGGAGCCCGTGTCGAGACATATTTGCTGGAGAAAGTTCGTCTCGCATTCCATGCCTCTGGAGAACGTAACTACCACATTTTCTACCAGCTGCTTCGTGGAGCATCCGAAGAGGACAAGCTCAAGTATGAATTCAACGATGGAGACACGGGTGGTATGGAACTTCCCATGTATTACCATTTCACAGGCCAAGGAGGAGCACCGCATCTTCGAGAATTCACTGACGAATCCGGTTTGGAGTACACTATCAAGGCCATGAGGAACCTTGGCTGGTCGCAAGAGACGATTGACTCGGTGATGTCTTTGATCGCCGGTATCATTCATCTAGGTCAAATCAGCTTCAACAAGAAAGTGGATGATGCGAGTGGTTTAGAAATTGCCGAAGTAGGCGAGGCCAAGGAGATGGAACTCACCGCCCGACTCTGCGGGGTCGACTTGGAAAAATTGAACACTGCCTTGACGGAGAGGGTAATTGTGGCGAGAGGACAAGAAATCAAGACCCAACTAACTGTGGAGAAAGCCCAAGACGCTCGCGATGCTCTTGCCAAGACAATCTATGGAGCCCTTTTCTTGTGGGTCGTCGAACAGGTCAACAAGAGTATCAAATGGGAGAACGACGGTGATGTGAGATCGTCTGTGGGTGTTCTGGATATCTTTGGTTTCGAATGCTTCTCCATTAACTCCTTCGAACAGCTGTGTATCAATTTCACGAACGAGGCTCTGCAGCAGCAGTTCAACAAGTTCATTTTCAAGCTCGAACAAGCAGAGTATGAAGCAGAGTCTATCGAATGGGCATTCATTTCGTTCCCTGATAACCAGGACTGTCTGGATACTATTCAAAAGCCCAAAACCGGAATCCTCTCGATGCTTGACGATGAGTGCCGTCTTCCGAAAGGAAGTGACAAGAACTGGTGCAAGCGCATGTGCGACTTTTATCTTCCAAACAAAAACCAAACAACCTCGGACAACACACGCTTCGTTTCGAGCAAGATCCAACAAAGTAAAGCCGTCTTTTGTGTCAGGCACTTTGCTGGACTCGTCGAGTACACTGCCGAAACAAATTTCATGGAAAAGAACAAGGACGAAATTCCACTGACGGCCCAGAATATGCTTGATACAGCACCGAACCAGCTTGTCAAAGATATCTACGACGTGCAAAAGAAGGAGACGGAAGGAAGGGCACCCGAAGCGACAGGCAAACCTGGAAGAGCGCCCAAGTCGAAGACGGTCGGTCAACAATTCAAAGAACAACTCAACAATTTGATTGAACAGGTTTCCAAAACTGATCCTCACTACATTCGTTGCTTGAAGCCAAACGATGCCGCCAAGCCCAAGATGCTGACGCGCAAGAGGTTGACAGAGCAGCTGCGATATGGTGGTGTCTTGGAAGCTGTTCGCGTTGCTCGTGCTGGATACCCTGTTCGGCTGGTTCATGAGCAGTTCTTCCAGCGATACCGTATGCTTCTGCCCTCAGTGTCCGCCGACAAATTGCCCTGGAATATGGATGGCCACGGATCCGAGGATCTCTGCGTGAAATTAGTTGATTGCGTCATTGCTGAAGGTAAAAAGACCCAAGAAGCGACAGGGAATGCCCCGTTGGATCCAAACGAATCTGGAATCTCACGGTCCGAGAAAATTAGACGAATGCAGACGCAGCCGGCACCGCTTCTTTTTCCCAAGTCAGATGTGCAACTTGGAAAGACTAAGGTGTTCATGAGAAAGCCGCCTCATGATGTTCTGGAAGCTCACAGAGTCTTCCAACAACGCGCTAGCGCCACTGTCATGCAAAGCTGGGTGAGAGGGCTGATGAAAGAAAAGCGCTATCTGGATATGCTGCATGCAGCACGGCTTATCGAAAGGTTCTACCGTGGATGCAAAGGCCGCGAAAGGTACGTACTTGGCTTGTTACTTGTTGAATTTACTCTACTTTTTTTTGGTCATGCATCTCACATCGCTTTAAAAATTGTTCACGTTTTCAGGTGGTGGAAGCTTCGAGGAGAAGCAGCAGGTAATCTCCTCACCAACAACTTCAGAATGCTTATCGTGTGGCGACGATACAACAGAGCCAGGAAGGGAACCATCAAGTTCCAGGCAGCTTCCCGCGGCAGACAAACCCGGAAAATGGTCGCGGCCGTCCAGGCCCAAAAGATCTATCGCGGATACATCGCCCGGAAAAGATTTCTTCAGTACAAGTCTGCCATCATTTCGCTTCAATGTGCCGCGAGAAAAAATGCTGCCACGAAGGTACTGAACGAGTTTAAACGCGAACAGAAGGATGTCGGCAAACTCAAACAAAACAACGAAAAACTGAAAACGGAGATGGCAAGTCTTCGAGCTATGCTTGCCGCCCAGGCTAAGGAAGGCGAGTCTGAGGCACGAAACGCAAAGGAAATGGAGGCGAAACAAACTGAAATCGAAAATCTTGAAAAGAGAATTGCCGAGTTGGAGAAGGAACTTGAGGAGGCGAAGAAATTAGTGGATAAGGTGGAGTCGGATATCAAGACGCAGGCAGCTCAATTCGCCTCAGAAAAAGAACAGTTGGAGCAACGGGTGCAATATCACGTATCACAACGCGCTTCAACTGTCATGCCATCTCATGCGGCGCCACCCGGTTCTCCAAAGCCCACCAAACGAGCGGTGGAAGCTACCGCAGAAATCAGTTTACCACCTCTTGCCGAAGGCGAGAAGGGCGTAACAGTCAACCCTGAAGTTCTTGCGCAACATAGAGCTCATGTTCAAAAGCTCGAAGAGACACTCGAAGCAGAAAAGAAGCTGCGACGCGAAGCAGATGGAGAAATCATCAAGCTCCGTGCTGCCATCAACGGTGTCAAGCTGGACGATTCTGAGGTTGATGCCCTGCTGGGCAAGAAGAAGGGCGCGTCGGCTATCCCAGCCCCGAGTCACCCGAAAGTTGTTGATTTGGTGTCTGACACAAGGTAAGTTTGTTGCAGAGGAAAACTACCATCGTTTTGTCCTGCTTTGTTCTGTTTTACCGGCGGGAAACGCAACGAACAATGGTATCAAAGACCATACTGCCATGGTGTTTGATACCTTGTTCTAATCTTTTCGAGGCATTGTGCAATGTGTTCTTTAGTTTGTTGTTTGGGCTGTTGGTGATTTTTGCGGTGTTGATGATCTGTTCAGTGCTCGTCTTGCTTCGAAAATCGGTTGTCCGTGTGTCATTGGATGGCGTGGACCTTATTGCCGCACAGAACGGAACAGACACCGGTCTGCTCGATGTGGAAGACATGGTTTACAACCTTCAACACGGGAGCTGGCTTGATCTGCCTTTGGGATCATTCTGAGTGTTTTGTTGGGTTTGCGGGGTATTGGAATAAATGTTGTCATTAGATAGTCGCCACACTGCTGATCTGTTTATTGCTCGTAACAACAATCTTGGTTTGTTTTTCGTCCCCTTTTCGTTCCACCACACTCACGCGCCGCCTTCTCTGTTTACACCTCGTATGTGTGCACTGCAGCGCTCAGCACCACCGAAAGGAACACCACCGCAAGGAGCCCCGATCATCTATCGTCAAAGCTACTGCAGAATTTCTTCCGAAGATCAAGCGCGGCTTCTTCGGCGGAGAGGAGAAGGAAGATGACAATATCGTTTCGGCTGGCTGGAAGGTCGAAGTGCGAACACGAAAGGAAAGAGAAGAAACTCTACGGTACGTTGGGATTTTCTTTGAAGTGGTGCCAACCATGGACGCAACTTTTAGTTTCTTACGCCTTCTTGAATCGAATCCCTCTTTGAATTCGAAAGTGATGGCGTGCACCAATTCGAGATCAAGATGAAGAAATTCATCCACCAGCTGGAGGAGGGAGTCGAGACGGTAATGTGGCAAGTTAACCGAAGTGCTGAACAAACGGCTCCAGAGGATGAATTTGCTGTCAAAGCTTCACATGTGACGATTAAGATGCAACGCAAGGGCGATCTCTACTTGCAATCTGTTCTGAACTTCAATCTGCGTGGAGGATACTTGAGCAAGGCGATCGGCCGAAACCGTCAAGGTAAGTTGGATCTGGTTATCATTCGAAAAAGATTGCAGGCCAAGGCCCATTGCATGTCGTCTAACTATTTCCACTGTATACAGTCGACAAGACGGCTCTAGAGCCATTGTCAATGGGCGAGATTCTGGAGGTGAAGGCTGGCTGCGCTGGCTTTGATCACACAGAACTGCCATCTGCTGCTGGTAGGGAGAAGAAATCCAAGTCCAAGAGCAAAAAGAGCAAGGGTGAGAGTGAAAACAGGCAGTCAAGTCTGTTTTTGACCGTCAAGGCCACCCCAACACCCATTGCCCACGAAAGATCGTATATTATTCGTTTCAAGTCACGATCTGCACGTAATGATGTATTGCATGGTCTTCGCAGTGTCCTTGCCGATATGCAGATCCAGGAAGGTGTCAGCATCTCCGGACTTCAATTCAATCAACAGGCTGCCGATCAAGACGAAGACAAAATCATGGTTCCCTTGTCGGCTGTCAACCAAGTCATCAACAAGGAGCGTGAAGCCTACGATCGTATCCTATTGATGCTCCTCCAGGGAAGCGAAGATCTCAAGGACAAGGAGGACGAGTTGCTCAGTCTACGTAGTAAATTGGAGAGTGTTGTACAAGAGTCAGCAGAGAAGGATCGCGTGCAAGCGAATGACTCCAAGTTGATCATGCAACTCAGTAAGAAGTTGGAGACGTTGCTTATGGACAACGAGGACTTGCGAGACCAGAACGATCGCCTCAACACCCGCTTGGTTGCTGTGGAATGCGAGAAGATGAATCTAATAGCCCAAAGTCAGAAGTAAGGCTCAAAAGTGTTTGTCTCGGCCAAATTCCTGTTACCTGGTGCAAGCGCTCGGTTGATCAAGGCCTTCAGCTCTACTGAGACTGTGCGTAGTAGTAAACGTTAATCAAAGCGAGAGGCAAGCAACTTTGTTGTGGAGCTGAGCAAGATAACCCTGTAGCTACTGGTACTCGTATTGTAGCCTGTGTTAATTAAAGCGATTTGGATTGGGCAGTTTGTGGTGCGTCTTTGTAATGTTTACATAGTTCAGTCACTCAACATGAATGCGTTTTGCTTTGATTGCTTGCTTCCAGTGGTTGCCAGCCCCTTGAAGTGCATGAGAGTGCCATTCAGCGCATGCATGTTTTACCGGTATCATAGCAAGATTGGGAGGATTTTATACTCAGACATCAATACACGCGAAATCTGTGCACTCGTACCTTTTTTAAAACATGAGGGAACTAGACTAAACATGTCCTCAATTCTTTGAAGAGCAGCGCCGCTCACTGTGCCGATACTACCGGTAGTAGCTACATATAACTAGGATACTGTGCCCTGCACATGAACGAGCCAGCAGCCAAGCAGGCTTTGATCAATGGACTTCCGCACAGTGACAACTCAAACTTCCAAAGGATTTTGTGACGTGTCGGCTGTTGAATGGCTGTGGTGATGGGAGTTCCCCAAACTGCCTCTGTACCGTTCGCTTACCGCATTGCGAAAAAGATAAATTTTCAGTGAATAGCACACATCCCGTGTTATCCAACCTTGTCAAAACCGAAGGCAAGTTAACCAACCAACATCCCTGTCACGGTTACCAAGAAGGGTCAATTCGATCCTCTTCGTAGGGCAGGTTGTGCTCATTATCCACGAAACCAAGGTTCATTCCCCGGAAACACTACAACAACCACCATGTTGCTCCATCGCCTCGCCGTTGCTGCTGCCAAGACCTCATTGAGGCCGTCATTGGCACGAAACAGCCGAACCATTGCTCCAACGATGACGGGAATCACCACTGCCCGCTTCGGATCCTCTGTAGCAAAAGACGAAGAAGCTACTACTACTATTGTTGACAATTCACAAGAAGAGAATCCTACAGAACTACCGACAGCACCGGAGTCCACTTATAGCATGAAGAAATCAGGAACCCCCAGTCCCTGGGCCGTTTTCGACGCCTGGGGAGCTGGAGCCGACATTGTGGATCCTCTCTCTCCGGCCATGGAAAAGCTGCTGGAGTCGGAATCTGTGAAAATTCCAATGACACCCGAAGAACAAGCAACCTTGGCGGGAGAAACAGAAATTTTGGATGCCTACGATCAATTCTTGCAACGCAAATCGAGTGTCCATTTTGGATACCCCTATAACCTCATGTACAACCATTCCGAACTATACGAGTTTATGAAATACTCCATTAACAATCTCGGAGATCCCTTTGTGCCCTCCAACTACAGTGTTCATTCTCGACAATTTGAGTGTGCCGTCATTGACTTTTTCGCCGACTTGTGGAAGATGGAAAAGGACTCGTATTGGGGGTATGTCACCACTTCGGGGACCGAAGGAAATCTGCACGGTATTTTGCTGGCCAGAGAATGTCATCCCGATGCCATTCTGTACACTTCTCAAGAGACTCATTACAGTGTTTTCAAGGCGGCAAGATATTATCGCATGGATTGTCAATCCATTCCCACGCTACCCATGGGAGAAATCGACTATGATCTCTTGGAGAAAGCCATCAGCCGAAACTTGGATCGGGATATCATCATTGTGAGTTAAACCAACAGTACCGTATACCTATATTCATTGCTTGCCGGAGATGAACGCTGAATCTCACCACTCCACTTTTCCCCTTTCCTTCACAGAACGTTAACATTGGTACCACCGTCAAGGGTGCAGTCGACAATCTGGATCGCATCTTGAGAACATTGCAAGTATTGAATGTCCCTCGAGAACGCTTCCACATTCATTGTGATGGGGCGCTCTTTGCCCTCATGATGCCATTTGTGGACTATGCCCCGGAAATCTCCTTCCAAAAGCCCATTGACTCCATCGCCGTCAGTGGACACAAAATGCTGGGATGCCCCATGCCCTGTGGTATTGCGCTCTGTCGAAAGGAACACGTCGAAAAGGTGGAACAACACATTGACTACCTCAACAGTGTCGACACGACCATCATGGGAAGTCGCAATGGACAAGCAGCTCTTTACTTGTGGTACAGTCTTCGAAAGAAGGGTGTCGAAGGAATCAAGCGAGATGTTGAACATTGCATGGAAACAGCCAGATACTTGAGAGACAAGCTCACAGAAGCTGGATTCACTTGCCGTGTCAACGATCTCAGTTCCACCGTGGTCTTGGAACGGCCGTTGGATGAGAATCTCGTCAAACGATGGCAATTGGCTTGCGAGGAAGATATTGCTCACGTCGTTGTCATGCCCAATGTCACCCGCAACAAGATTGACCTGTTTGTGAAAGAACTCACCGAGTGCAAAGACAAGTTGGGACGAATTCGCCCGGTCCGTGAAAACTCACCTCTCAGGCAACTTCACAGCCTCGCTTGGGGTGGCAGTGTTGTGCAACCCTTTGGTACCAACTAGACATATTTTGCATGGCTGGTGCGACCCTTGCAACTATTAAATACTTAGTAGGTAGATCGATTTTGATAACGATAGTTAATTAAATTTTGTGGTTTTGAATTGCAGGACGTGGTATGGATCGGCTAGCTATAGTAGATCTGTTCCAGAGCCAACTTAATCAGAATAGATAAACATTAATTCACATCTATGCCTCATACGATTTCAGCAAAGAGTGACTGGTCACAAATGCTTGTAGTACCGGTACGGTACGCTTAAAGTTAGTTAGCTAGCTTGTTAAACGAACCACAGCGGCAGATCCTTTTCAGGAGTCAGAAAAGGCTGAACGGACGTTTCTTCTTGTTGGATTCCTTTTTCGGGGTTGCCGGATCTGCGGCATCTTTGGCTAGAAGAGAGCATTGACAAATCCATTCGATCAAAAGCCTGGCACCCCATCCCGTTGCACCTGCCTTGGTGGCCCAGACAGGACCTGCCATATCTATATGAGCGTACGGTTTGTTTCCCTCGACAAACTCATTAAGGAACAGGGCCGCTGAAATGGCCCCAGCGTATTTGCCTCCGATATTGTTCAAGTCAGCGAACTTTGACTTCAACCCCTCCTTGTATTCTTCTTCCAAGGGCATCCTCCATACTTTCTCCCCTGTCATCTTGGATGCTTTGACGAGAGCTTCTGCAAGCGCGTCATCCTTTGCCCACAACCCTGCCACTTTGTTCCCCAATGCCACCATGCAGGCACCCGTCAAAGTTGACATCTCGACGATTTCTTCACAGCCGACTTTCTGGTCAACGTACGCCAGCGCATCCGCCATGGTTAGTCGGCCTTCAGCGTCCGTATTCATCACTTCGATTGTTTTCCCATTGGATGCTGTCAAGATGTCACCTGGAACCATTGCTCGCTCATTGACCATGTTCTATCAATGAAAGAGTCGAGTCAGTAATCCGAGCTCTCAATACTGCTCAAGGCAAGGCGGTGCTTCATGAAAGGATAGACTAAGCCAACTTACCTCACATGCAGCCACAACAAAGTGCACCTCCACATCCTCCGGAGCTAATTGAGCAATAGCTCTGGCGGCACCCAGTACGGCAGCTGCCCCACCACAGTCAAACTTCATCAACTCCATCATGCCTCGTTTGATGTTGTATCCCCCTGTATCAAAGAGCAGCCCTTTTCCGACAACACCCAGCTTGCGACTGCATGAAAGGGTGAGTGCAAGAAGAGCTTTAGCATTGCAGACAAAGAGGTTCTTGCCAGAACCTGCATTCAAAGCGACTTACAGTCTTTTGCTGCTACCTGCCGATGACTTTCCAGGTCGATAGATCATATGAATGAACTGTGGCGGAGTCTCTGAACCTCTTGCCACACCCAGAAAGGCTCCCATACCAAGCTTTTCACAGTCATCTGCGTTCATGACGTGGCACGTCAGTTGTCGAGGGTACTCTGCCGCCAATCTCTTGGCGGTCTCTGCTAGAGACACGCTGTTGAGTACATTGTGTGGTGCGTTGACAATATCCTTGGTCAAGAAGACTCCCGACGCTATGATTTCTCCTTTTGAAATGGATTGTCGTGCCTGGGTCAAAAAGGTAGTTGGCAGCTCTGAATCCTCCACCACTGTTGTTGATTGGCTTGTAGTAGTATGATGATCCCAAATCAAATCCAATGCAAAGGGTGCGTCCTCCTTTTTGGCCAAGTTGTCTCGTTTGTCTTTCGATTTGAATCGGATGTCCTTGTATAGTGTCGACCACAGAGAGGTTGTCATTTCAGACACAAAGTCGCCAAACAGTGGCGGTTGAGATGATGTGTCTGACGCATTCTTCTCCATGGAGGGCGGTGGTGGAGGCATTAAAAGGGCCCATCTTTCGCCTTCATTCTTGAGATGCGACGCTATTCGATTCCCCACCGAGCGCCCCAGCTTTCCGGCATGTTGTAAGCTGTTGGGATCTCCCTTGATCCGGCATACAACCAGCCGTTGGACTTCCATATGTCCATCCAGAGACACCTTGCAGACTTTGGAGACTTCATCCCAATCTTTATCGTATTTTCGTTTCCTTTTTCGTTTTGGGCTGGCGGCAGAGTCTAGTGGCGTTCGTCCTTTGGGTGATGTAAAGGTTGTCACTTCGCCTTTGGTGGAAGACTTTACCGAGAGGGTGTCATCTTTGCCTTCCATCCATTTGGATAAGATTCCGGAATACTTGTTGTCCACGGCATGAAAGATGGAACCGAAGGATTCTATAGACTCGCAGGTTGTCGTATTGTTGTTGTTGCTGTCGTCATTATTGCTTCTCTCGTTATATTCGATAATGCCAATGACAATACAATCGTAGTCCGCTGCGTCTTGGAGGGTTTCTTGGATAGAGAAATCAATGGGTGGTTGGGTATTCCACTCCATTTTCAAATTCGGGTATTGGAAGGTCCATGTCGGAAAAGGACCTGCTGAAACCGTGGTTATCAGGCAGGTGAAGAACATCAGAGAGCATGTTGCCACTGCTGGGATGAACATTACTACTGAGGCAGCAGAAGGCATGGTCTAGCTGGGTACCGTCTGATCAATTGTGTGGACTGGACAATGGATGGGGGCACACCTCAGGGAAGGCTTTGCCAAGATCTTACAGTAACCGTTTTATTGTATCACTGAGACGTTGTCCTTATGAGCATTGCAATTGTCCCTTGATTGTGTTGTGGATTGGAGACGACACACACATCATCGATCGCAATGGCCATGCATGCACAACGAGTACGGTATGCACTGGCATCAGCCATAGCATCGGCGTCATCGTCGTCGTTGGGTGAGAATCGTTTTGAAGCCAGCACGAGCTGTTGGAGGCTTTTTTAATAAGGACATCCCGGAAGAAAAAGTGATCTCTTCGGCTTGCCGTTGCCACTTCAACATTACTTTTTTAATAAAATAAAAAGCACCAGACTCTCACTCGACTTTGAGAACACTGAGCATTCGTACTGGTAGCCTAGCAGTATCCAACATGTCCAGTGCCTACAAACTCATGGAAGGTGTCCAGGTCGAAGTGGGCCTCGAAAGCGCCCTCCTCGGAGCATTGGAAGAAGATGGCATGTTTCATGATGTGACTTTGGCGGCCAATGACGGCGTCCAAGTACCTGCCCATCGAGTGCTCCTTGCTGCTCGAAGCAAGGTGTTCAAGACTATGCTAATGGGAAGCTTCTCAGAGGCAACGGGATCTACTATCAAGGTGGATTTTCCCGGAAATGTAACCAAGGCAGTTGTGGAGTACATCTATACTGGCAAAGTCAAACTGCTATCGGATCTAATGATGACATCTCAGAGGCAGGACATGGGGACTTCCAAATGCTTGTCGCTCTGACTGCAGCAGCAGCCTACTATAACCTGCCCAAGTTGTGCGATACCGTCAACAGTGTCATCCAACAAGAATATGTCAAAAAGTTGCCAACACTGTCATTGGCCGTCTTGGAAGCTTGTGCTCAAGAACGCCCCGCAATATCCAACAATTTGCTGGAGTTGGCCTTGACGAACGTTCGGCATAACAAATTTGATGTGTTGAATCAAGGCGTTTTGGGCTCTTTGAGCTCACCTGTCTTGACACAAATCCTCAGCGATGAAAAGTCCCTGGTTACAGAATACAAGCGCTTCAAAATGGTTCACTTGTGGTCACAAGGTGCCTCGGAACGAGAGGAAAACCGGCTGGAAGTTGCAAAAATGTTGGTGAAGAAACACCTGAAGCTGCAATTTATCAATCCTGAGGCATTGTCAAATTCTGTTGCTCCATCTGGGCTTGTTGATATTCAGCACCTGGCAGAAGCGTACAAACAGCAAGCCATAAAAGCAAAAAGAACGTTTGGAGCATCCTTTGAAAAGCCATTTTGTCTCCCTGAGCCAGTCTGGATTGGAAGCAACTCAAACCGATTTGATCTACCATATTCCTCGTGGAAGAGCGACAAACTGGCAAGTCCAACCCTTGTCAACGGTTGCAAATATGAGTGGACTATTAACACCGAGATGCCACAGAGTTATTATTCACAGAATAATAGTATCATGATTGGCATAGCAAAGTCATCTGCAGTGTTTAACGACGGCGAACATTGTGGTCAGCAAGCATCATGCTGGGCTTTCTCCGGATACAATGGACAGGTGTGGGAGTGTGGAAGTAATACTGGAGAAGTTCGAAGTGCTTCAAGGAATGCTTCAAGGTTTCCATTGAGGTTAATAAGCGAAGAGCGCCATTGTGTTGGTTTAAAAGAGTGAGTCTATTATTGAATGGCGGTGAGCCACCTTAGCTATAAGCCTGCAGGCTGTCTATGTATCGATCCAAACGCTAACAGTCCGGCCGAGTGCTCAGGCTAAGCCAGTTAAGGCCGCCGACAATGGATTGGTATGCCTTCACGAGAAGTGGTTTCTCGGAAGGATCGATGCCATCGTGTTCGACTCGATCGATTGGGAGGCCACTGCGATAGGGGCTGTCGACTGCGTTTGCCTCAAGCAGAGAGTGCTGGTCAAGCATCTTGTGGATATGGCCTTCTTGCGAGCAGTGCACGCGCGAACGACCGTCCGGGAGGACTTGCCAATCGTAATGAGTGCCAAGGTAGAAAGAGAGATCGCCCATAAAATCGATCTTGAGTTGTTGACCAAGAGCTTGTTCAAACCAGGCCTCTGTGGCGTCGTCAGATCCCCAATAGAGACAGTCGTCTACATACGTGCCGAAGGTAATAGTGCCGCCAGTAGGGGATTGACCAACGAAGACGCAGGGATCATGCTTGCAAACTTCAAGTCCCAAATCTGTGAGCACTTGCGGAACGTTTGATACCAGTGACGAGGACTTCTCCGTAAGCCGTAGAGAGTCTTCTTCAATCGCCAGAATGTGCCCGGCTTGGAGTACGGGCAGCCTTTTGGTGGGATGCATACACAGATCTCGTCATCGGGTAGTGTGGGGTGACAGAAGGCGTTCTTGGCGTCGCACTGCTTGACCCGGCGTCCCTTAGAAATTGCAAGGGATACGATAGCGCGAATACTGTGTTTCATAATACGGGGCCAAAAAGATCGTTCTTGCTCCAGTATCGTTCTTCGACATTCCCCATCACAACTGTGCGAGACTTGGCGCGGAGGGGTTTGCCTTCCGAAGTCCGTTTTAACCGTGTGTATGCAATGGTGGGGATGGCGTGATGTTGTATCGCTGAACTAGGCGTTGGTACTCTGCGGCGTTGATTTCCTCGTAGGTATCCAGAGAGATAAGTCCATTTCGCTCCTCGTCGTAAGATGCCAGCCACGTGGCGTAGTCGGGGTGTTTTTTATCGCGGAGTGCTTGCCATAGGAAGTGGGATACGGCTTCGACAGTCCTTTAGCGGAGACATGCCTGGCGTGTCCACGAAATCGTCGTCCCGATCGGGTTCCAGTTGTTTTCCAAGATCTCCCGTCATGGGGCTGTTCGAAGATGGTTCGTTACGTAGCAGAGGACTGTTGATAATCTGATGGCCTAGTTGGAGGGTGTCGTCGGAAAGAAAGGTGCGCCAATCCGAAAGTAGGTTTGGAATCTCCAATTCGGTAACGGGACGGCCGGTGCGGTCGTGCTGTGCGAAGCACCAGTGGGATTTGGCTGTGAGTTCAAGGGTACCGAGAAGGCGCTGTCCATTTCGAAGATACCCGACCTTTTGGCCCGTCTTGAGCCATGATGGTGGTAGGGATGTATTGGATCACCGTTCGATGGATCGTGATTAGGGTCGAACTCCAGCTCATGTGCCTCGCATTCGGAATAGTCGTAAAGATCTGTCTGCATAAAATCCCGGGTTGTGCCGTTGTCGAACTGAAGACGGTACGTTGGTCTTTCTCCGGTGATCGGAGTGGAGATAACAGTCCCATAGGTGTGAGGGGCTTCGCCTGTTTTAGAGGCTGGTCCTTCGGGTTGAACGACCAGTACATCTCCGAGAGAGTACGGAGTGGGATGTTCTGAGGTGTCCAGAAGTGATAAGAGGAATCCGCCGTCGTTGAGCAGTCCGGCCAGTGGGTTCGAATCTGTCGATGGGGAGCAGGGAGTAATCTGCGGAACATGAATTGGCAGGTTTCCGGAGACCAGAAAAGCATTCCATTGGAGTCTTTACTCCGTTCCCAAAGCAATACCGGGAAAAGTCTTGGACTGAAACTTGCTTGCCCGAACTGGTTTGCCTCGATACGTAGTCGCGATCGCGATGAAATACCCCAACACTGCCGAATGGGAAACAAGGTACGGAGATCCGGTTGTTGTTGCAAAGAAAAGCTCAAACGGTGTGGCGTATCGAGTCGTTCCTCTTCGTTCTTTCCAACGTCTATGGAATCATGTTATTCGCTCAAAGGCTGTGCGAACTGCCAAAACCAAAACTTCCGAGATAGATTGGCCTCTTGAAGGTAAGATCGAGCCATTGCCACTGCCGTACCCCCAGTTTCGCGACTGAAGCCGTTCTGGGACTTGCGATACGGTGGACGAGGAGAGTGTTCGAGAAGTTCCTTGACTTGCAACAACCGCCGAATCGTTCGCCTCGAATCAGACTGGAATCAAATCTGTCAACTATACGGCAACACGTTTCAGCCCTTGGGGTCCCATGTCCAGAAGACTGGCGAAATCTCGGCCAAGGTGGATCCGATGGTATAACGAAGTCCATAGCAAAAGCTCTGACGGGATCCGGCGTCAACCACTACCAAACAGTATCGATGGTCCGCCGGGAGATACGTCATCACCGAAACCAATGTCCACACAAATTGTGTGGCCAGGTGGTGGAATTTTTGGATTGCTTGCCGCGTCGTCCCGACGTACATTGACGAAGTCGCCAATGGAAGCTGGGGTCTCTCCAAAATTGGCCACTTTACCGCCTTTGCAACAGTTGGCCAGGGTTTTCCAATCGTTAAAGGTGCGATTGCCAAAGAGACGATGGAGTTCGTCGTTGGAGAAACGCTTTGTGGCTGGAGAAGCCGAGTTGGGAACGTACTCAGATGGGATGTCGCGATTGCTGTCGCGATTGTGTAGGTCTTGCTCGAGAGGCGAGCGTGCATTAACCGTCTCCTGATTTTGGGGAAACGCAAGGAATCGTCGAGGTCCCTTGCTGGGTTGGCTTTGAAAGGCGAATCCTAAGCCTGGTGTGCTTGTCACGAGGTTTGCTTTCAGGTGAAGTGGATCCGTCGACGCAGTCAAGCGACTGGCTACGAAATCGGGTGTACTACCGGGTGGAGCTGGGCTTGTAGGAATCAGACAATCTTCGGAATCATCGATGTGGATGTTGAACGACGGATACCCTAGAATGCACTCGTCGTAGGATGCGAGGAAGAAGGCTTCAGGGTGGAGTCGGCGGTGAACACGTACTGACTTCAGGCGCATTGCCGCTTCCGGAACGTGGGAGGGGCACACTTATTTTCTGTGTCGTGTTTCTTCTCTCTCTAATTCTATATGTTTTTATGGTATTCCTCCGATGT